TATTTGTTATGCCTATAAGCTATGGCTACCATTTCCTGAAATGGTAAACCGTTAAATTGTTTGCCATTCAAAGTTGCATAAAATCTAATTTCATCGACACGACACCTGCCTGTTATGGGAAATGCTCGTCCTCGTCTTACGGAGCTCAGTTAACCAGATACTAATGTAACTTCTGCAGTAACAAACACCAACGTATCAAATAGGCACAGTAATGGTTCATATTTTTAATGAATTATCACATGGTGAAATTATTTTTCATTATAACTGTGATTTTCACATTAAAATTCACTGGTCGTAGTAACTTAATATCACATAACTGTTATTTATTGTTGGAAATGATGTGTGATTTTTAGTAATAATATCTATATAAATATCATTTAAAAGTTTAATTATATTTCAATGTTTCTTAAACACAAAGTATGCTGTGATTGTCTCTAAATGTAAGAATAGTTAGCCGTAATCTACTAGTGTATTGTAATAAATATTTTGCTGTATCTTTTGTTGGTGATCCCATAAATAAATAAATAAATAAATAAAGTCAGCCTAGTTGGTCGTCAATCGATTGCGATTTAATATAATTATTAACATTTCACTAATAGCCGAAAGTAGCATTTTGTTGCATTATGTAACACATAGCCGTTATTTTAAGTAGCAGATGTGACATATGATTCTGTATTTTATATAATAATTTAACGTGCTACTTGTGAAATATTCCAAGCCCAATATCAAGCACCCGAAAGCGTGGTGTCGAGTAACACTTGGGTTGTGTGATTGACACATCCATTTGTCTGTGAGACAGGCGGTTACGGATTGTCTGATGTGTCTATGGTAGTCTATTGGGGGCAGATAGCATGTCTATAGATATACTTGTTTAGTAAAGCGATTTGTCTGATAATTGGCTTATTATTGTTATAATCCTCAGAGACAGGAATGCATGCGATGTATTATGGGTATCACAGTATATTTGTTTGTTATTCTATATATATACAAATAGATATATATACATATAGATATTATATTGAGCAATGAAGTTAGCATAGCTATAAAATTGGTGTCAATACCCTCAAATGGGTTAAAGCTGAAAATCAGTGTTTTGTTCCTTGAACAATGTTACACGCCGAGCTTCGACCTTTTTGTATTGCTGCAGATCACACATAATAACACAATTTTATAAATCTTATGTTGTTTTATGTATTATCTATTCTTATGTACATGTTGTGTGTGATTAGTAACAAACAAATAAACGATATATCTATCTATCTATCAATATTACAGAATGTTTATATTGTAATACAGTAAAGTGTGACAAAAAAACAATAGAAAATAAAAGAGGAAAAATACTGGGTCATCTTATTTGATATGATGATTTTTATATAGCATACTAGAAGGAAAAATAGAGGACAAAAGAGGAAGGGGAAGATCTAGGAATAACTGTATGGGACAGATAGAGGAAAAGTGTTTCCTTCCTATACGATATCTAGTTAGGTGTCGTTTTGTATAGGGAGGTCAAATATATGGCCTGGAATAGAGCTGCTTGGAAGAGAATGCATGAATTAGTTGCACCGACAAGATGAAACTCTTAAATGAAAAGAGAAAGTGTAGAATGAATAAATCAATCCTAGTAATGCAACTACTGGCAGAATCTCCCAAGGGGAGGCTTATGTTCAGCAGTAGACGATAAAAGTGTGATATGATGAAGGATAAGCAAGCTGAAGTGGCAATGGGCTGGTCACATAGCTCGAAGAAACGACAACCGATGGGGAAGAAGGTTCTTGAGTGGCGACCATGTAGGTGGAGCACGTAGCAGTGTAGGATGATCCCCCACTAGATGGAGTGACGACCTAAAATGCGTTGCCGGGAGTCAGTGGATGCAGGTGGCTCAGGACCGCTCTTTATGGTAGTCTATGGGGGTGATTTATGTCCAGCAGTGGACGGATAATGGCTGAAATGATGATGTTGATGATGAATGCAATCTTTGTGTACAATGACGTATAAATAAGTAAATACAATGGATTCAGTTCTGAGTTACCTTAAAATTACCCCTCAAATAAACAATTTCAATTTGATAGGTAGTCCAGCAAAATTATAATGGTATGGACCATCGGGAATTAAATGTGATGCAAGTAATTGTAATGTAAATTCACTTAATTGTTTTTGGAAATTATAATTGAAAGAGGAAACACGATACTACGCGTGCAAAGCTGCGGGCAACAGTTAGTGTAGTATAAAATAAGCTAACTATTTATTTATTTTTAGGATCATCGATATAAGATACAGCGAAACATTTCAATACAATACACTAGTGGATTACAACTAACTATTTCTACATGGGGGGAAAGGGATTGTTAGTAATGGGGACTGAGAATCCCATTGCTAGCAATATACCCAACCGGGTCGACCTCCTCGCGGTTCCCCCTGGAAACTATCATGGTTAATTCCTGATGAATTCGTCATGATGGGCTAACTGGCCTGTTTTCATTCTCATCGATCACCCTTCACTGGTGCTCCGCCAGCGTATCCCGTTAGCGCAGGCGGGGTTACCATACCATTTTCACCCATTAAAAAAACTATTCTTACATTTATAGGCAACCACAGCATGCTTAGTGTTCAAGAAAACATTAAAATGAAATTAAATATTATTAAATGAATAATTGACGTGTGTGTCCCGGCAAAGAATGGACAACCCTTTCCTATGCCGTGGGTGTCGTTAGAGACGACTAAGGGAGGGCGAGGGATGGGCTGCAGCGTCCCTCTTAAAACATCTCTAATGCCTAACTGCATTTGTCAAGCGTGGCAACTATTGGCAAAATTTATTGGGAAGGCTTATATTCAGCAGTGGACAGGTAACGGTTGAAATTACAGGGTACAGTACTTGGCGTGAATTTACAGGGTACAGAGGAATAACATCTGAGTCCTCGGGAGTGGCAATGCATGGGGGGTATCATGGGCGAAACAGTATACACTGTTATGTGCATGGTACTGCTCATGTCTATAGGCGACGGTTACCACTTTCCATCAGGTGGGCAGTCAGCTTGTTTGCCATTTTAAGTTGTATAGAAAAAAATAGTTCAATTGAATTTAAATTATAAATAAAGAAAAAATAATGGTCGATATACCTTGGAAAGATTTGATTTGTTAACGGTGTTAGTTATTAGCAGGGTAAATATAAACTATAACGTGAAGCTTGGTGCAGTGGCAGACAGAACTGAACTCATGACCTTCAGAGTTCTATGACCGAGCTAGTAACTAAGGCGGACGCTCGCTTAAAATAACATTATCTCTTTAATTAAACATGCTTATGTAGCTTACATTTATTTATTTATTTATAGAATTACCAACATAAGATACAGCTAAACATTTTAGTACAATACACTGGTAGATTAGATCTAACTGTTCTTACATTTATAGGCAATCACACCATGCCTTGTGTTTGATAAACATTAAAATGGAGTTAAATTATTAAATGTCATTAAATAAGTAAAAATATTAACAACATGAATAATAACATAATTATACATTAAAATCAAAGTGCTGTTATATATTCTTTAAATAGTGTTAAATAGAAATTAATGAAAATGTAAACAAACAAATAACTGGGCCGACTATAAGAGAGACTGATGATGTCCAAAATAACAAATCAAAAATAGATTAATCGATTTCATGTTTTGATTCATTACGCCATTACACATACATTCACCTCATCTACTCACCACACACATACATTTACATACAACTCACATACACTTATATCCTATTTTTCTTTTTATTTATTTTTTCTTCTAAATGCAAATAGCTCATGCACTCCTAGACACATGGCTTAGTTCACATTCAATATAGAAGAGTAGTAAATTTATTAAATTCGAACAAATGTTAGTGTTATTTATATTTTTAAATAATATTTATAAATTTTTTTTATACAACTTAGAATGGCAAACAAACTGACGGCCCACCTGATGGAAAGTGGTAACCGTCGCCTATTGACATGAGCAGTACCATGGGCATAACAGAGTATACTGTTTCGCTCATGATACCCCCATGCGTTGCCATCCCTGAGGACTCAAGTGTTATTCCTCTGTACCCTGTAAATTCACGCCAAGTTCATTCATTTAAATTCAGTTAAGTAGTTCCACGCTTTTTCCATACTTATGCCATGCCATGCCATGCTTATAAACAAGCAAACAATCAAATCTATTTTCTTTATAATATAAGTAAAGATTATAAGCTAAAAATGAATGATATTATGGGTTTAGATAGTAATATTAATAGATAGGTACCGCTGATTATTATATAACGCCCTCTAATTACAGACTAACGAAAGCTTGTACATATTTACTTGTAAATACACATTTTACACTAGCCCATGTCCCTCGCTGATAATGTAGCTTACTATACGTGAAGGAATGTTCAAAATTGGTTAAGAATTTTTTGCGTTTATCCATTGCGGACAAACAAACAAATCTACCCTCTTTATAATGTTACTTTAGATAGAAATTATTTAGACCAATACAGGCACGGGGATCAAACTTGCGACCATCGAAAAGTGGGGAGCTGTGTACCATATCATACGATATCAGTTCTTAATTGTCCGCTGCTGAACAGAGGCTTACCTTTATTGCGGGAATTTCCAATAGTTGCCATGATTAGCAGGCGGGTTGGCAACTGCAGTTAGATTTTGGAGATGTTTTAAGAGGGACACTACTGCCCATCTCTCGACTATACAGTGGAAGATGTGTAAAACCGTTAAACTACCAAGATATCTCCATTACGGCCAACCCTATATATTTACAACGACAAATGCTAAAAAACTGCAATTGGCATTGCACACTGAATTCCTTCGCTTCGGGCTTCTTGCAACGTAGAAAAAAAAACTTAAAAATAGGGCACCGCACTTCAGAGCTTGTCTTTACCAAATTCTAGTGACCTGAAGTTTACACACACATAAAACCACCCTGAACACCCACACCGCGAAACCCGCCCCTGGTCTGAGCTCAGTATCGGTCCAAACTCACCGGAGCGCGGTCGCATCGCGCCCCATCGAAATTTTATTCGAACGAACGCGTGTCTTCGTTATCACTCGCTTCTTGTCCTGTGTCTATATTTTCAATTAAAAAAAAAAGTATCAGTAATGTCTTACGATATTTAACTTGTGCTGTGGATTGTTCAAAGGTGGTTTTGTGTGCTGTGATTTTACGGAGTCATTCCAACAGAGATCGTAAGCTATTTTTGATGATTTAAACGTTTTGCTGACCGCATTTTATTCTATAGCACCGCCTAATGTCGACAGCATCTTTTTCGCGTTTAATATTAGATCAAGATATTTTGATACGTATAAAATTCTTGCTGAATATATGAATTTTACTGAATAATTTAAGATCAGCGAAGAAATGAGTCGTGCGCGAGATGGTATTTATTTAATGTCAGATGGTTCGTGTGAATGTTGCGGGTTAAACGTTGCATTTGTTTTACTATTTTGTTTAATATTTTTGGGGGTGTATTTTATTGTATGATTTGTAAGATTGTCCCTTGTTAATGTCTCAATTGAAAGTAAAATTAAATCACAAATTTTAAGCCATAGTATGTGATAGGTATTGCACAAAATTTATTTAATATCTAATTAGTGTATCCTGCGTGTATTTAAATAATAATGTATTAATTATAATTTGTAATTTAGAAGATTTATCTAAATTAAAATTATAATAGAGTTATTAATATAAATAATGCATGAATTTTTTTTTATACAGCTTAGAATGGCAAACAAGCTGACGGCCCACTTGATGGAAAGTGGTAACCGTCGCCTATAGACATGAGCAGTACCATGGACATAACAGAGTATACTGTTTCGCCCTTGATATTCTCCCATGCGTTGCCATTCCTGAGGACTCAGGTGTTATTCCTCTGTACCCAGTAAATTCACGCCATATCCTTCCCTTCAAACCGAAACACAGCCATGTAAACACAGCTGCTTCACGGTTGAAACACGAATGGGACAGAGATACCCAAGCAATCGACTTATGTACAAAGTCTCCCTCTGATAAACTGGTGTTTAGTTGCCTCGACAAGAGGAAACTCTTAAATGAGAAGAGAGAATGGAATAAGATATCATACTTGTTCCTTCTCTTACGTCAATTTTCGTTTGACTATACGCTGAATCCTATTCATATCTTTAGTTTTATATTTTTATGATAAACTCAAAAATTCTTTTACATGTAGAAAGCATTACCAAGTAAGACAGTCTATAGTTTTTTTTTTTGTAAAAACCTAATACTAGTTTTTACCTGCGGATTCGTCCGCGTAACTTCATTCGTCTACGTATACAGGGTGACTTCTAAATTATCAACGTCCTTTTAAAAGTGGAGAATACTCCGTTAAAAGGATCCTAACAATTCTGAATTCATCCTGTACTCATACGCAATGTCATGAAGTTTTTTTTTTTAATTAATGATAATGAAGTGGTTGCATCGCCTGTGCTAACGGTATACGCTGGCGGGGCACCAGTGAAGGATGATAGGTGACAATGAAAAGGCAGGTCCAATCAAATCAAACAATGATGAATAGACCTGGAATTCAGCACGATGTTTTCCAGAGAGGACCGCGTGGAGGTCGACCTGACATATTGTATATATTAATAGCAATAGAACTGGTAGTACGTATTACTAACAAACTTTTGTCCCCAATGTCACGAAGCAGTTGCAATATTTGTTTTTATTATGAATGTTAATTTTGCATTTTATCTTGTGTAAATATTAATAATGGGCATTTAATTTACTCATATGATAATTATTTATTTCTGACATAACTATATTATGTACAAAATGTACTAGGTTTTAGTATTTTAATAAATTTTGTGTACCAGTATTTTGGTGAATCCTGCAGCTTGAAGTGTACACAATTAAACATCTAATGTTCAATGCAAATAAGAAATCCGAATCTGAAATTTGTTGACAAACTGTAGGTAATATTTTTTTTTACATTTATAATAATACTAGCGACCCGCCCAGGCTTCGCACGGGTGCACATAACATCACATTAGAAACCTCTAAAATTATAAATGTTCCTCTACTATATTATGCAAGTATTATACATATAATCCTTCCTCTTAATTACGTAGTTTTAAAGATCTAAGCATACATAGGGACAGACAGACGGAAAGCGACTTTGTTTTATACTATGTAGTGAAGTGACTCGTAATCTGACCCGGATTCACATGAGTAGGTAGAGATCTCTTAGGTTGTATGGATAGAGCATCGAGTCTCAAAAACGAGTCAATTTTTAGTCAGCTAATTGTCAAATTAGCTGACACGTTTTTTTATCAGTGTTCTATATACTTACGCACACAATGTATCTTAATGTATGTATATTTAATTATTTAATAAATAAAATTAGTTTTTACGCATTAAAAAGACAACAAAAATTATAAAACAAAATAAATATAGAAGTTATAAAGGTAACACTCATAACTATTTATAACGCAAAATTGTATGAAAAAGTCGATCCGCTTTTCTCGAAGCATTTGTATGAAGACACTATATGTATATAATCTAAGTATATAAGATATACTATACTATACACGAAAATGAGAATAATCACCAAAAAAAAAAGCGTATTTTATACGCTTTTTTTATATTCTATTTATAATTTCTCATTCAATGTAGAGTGGCAAACAAGTGGTCGGCCCACCTCGTGAAAAGTGGCAACCGTCGCATATAGACATGAATGAGACCGAGTACACTACAGAATATACTGTGACGACCATAGTATTTCTCGAACGTTGCTTTTCCTGAGGACTAAGACATTTTTTTTTCATGGAATGAAAGTGGAATGGTGATCCCGCTTGTTGTGTCGGTATACACTGGCGGAGCTTCAGTGAGGGATTTTTTTTTATACAACTTAGAATGGCAAACAAGCTGACGGCCCACCTGATGGAAAGTGGTAACCGTCGCCTATAGACATGAGCAGTACCATGGATATAACAGAGTATACTGTTTCGCCCATGATACCCCCTATGCGTTGCCATTGCTGAGGACTCAGGTGTTATTCCTCTGTACCCAGTAAATTAACGCCATATCCCACCCTTCAAACCGAAACACAGCCATGCAAACACAACTATGCTTCACGGTAGAAACACGAATGGGACAGAGGTACCCAAGCAATCGACTTTTGTACAAAGTCTCCCTCTGGTAATCTAGTAATCAGTTATGCAATTACAACTGCTAGATAGATAGATAGATAGATAATTTATTTGCATCACTTACAGCACACAAACAGCAAAAGACACAAATGCAAAGTGAAAAAAGATAAAAAAAGATACGTGTATAAAAAAATTAAAAAAAAAAACAAAATCAGAATGCATAAAATTAGTAAATTTTTTTTTTCATGCGGGTGCTACAGTAATACAAAATGGCCACAACTTAGCTTTTTGCTTTGCACGAAAAAGAGCAAAACACTGATATTCTGTTGTGGCCAAAAGTGAGCCGCGAAATACTACTGAAAAAAAAAGGATAAAAAAAAAGAACGAAATATAGATCAAATACATTGAAACTGCTTGGTAACAGAAACACTTGGGACAATTGTACCCAAGTTGGTGACTGTTTTGAAAATTATTAATAATTCATACAATATACTGATATAAAGTTTGACTACAAAAACACGAATAATATAATTTTAGATACTGACTAAAGTCTGTAGGGAAAATAATTTCTCTTTATTTGACAGGGAAATTCCTTTTATTAAAAAAAAAACATGGTAAATGAAGCTAATATTTGCTTAGTATATTATTTTCGGTTTATTTCTTATTATATTACTAGTTTTACACGCGACTTTGACCGAGTTACTGGGAAAACGTAGTTTTTTTTAACCTTTCTACCGTGAAGCAGTTGTGTTTGCATGGCTGTCTTTCGGGGGATATGGCAGTGAATTTACAGGATACAGAGGTATAATACCTTAGGCCTGGGGGGAAGGGATTGTTAGTAATGGGGTCTGATCCATTGCTAGCAATACACCCTATCAGGTCGACCTTTACGCGGTTCCCATTGGAAACCACCGTGAACAAAACGTGCATGGTTTTAGTCGATTATGCCAGGGCTTTTAACGACCATGTAATTTTGGATATAGCCATCAGACATATTGCCACTTAAATAAATATATCTGTACTTATAAAACATGCTCATGTCTATAGGCGACGGTTACTACTTTCCATCAGATGGGCCGTCAGCTTGTTTGCCATTCTAAGTTGTATAAAAAAAAACATATACACATATGTTAACAGAGATTTAAAAGAGTAACTGTTGAATTTCTCGCGGGCTCTTCTCAACAGAACAGCAGACCTTCCAAACCATGCAATAGGGGGGAAAGGGATTGTTAGTAATGGAGACTGAGAATCCCATTGCTAGCAATATACCCGACCAGGTCGACCTCCTCGCGGTTCTCCCTGGAAACTATCATGGTTAATTCCTGATGAATTAATCATGATGGGCTAACTGGCCTGTTTTCATTCTCATCTATCACCCTTAACTGGTGCTCTGCCAGCGTATCCCGTTACCGCAGGCGGAGTTACCGTACCATTTTCACCCATCAAAAAAAACCCTGCAATAGATTTAAAAAATGCTTGTACGCTTAATGCTTGTAAAAATGCTTGACGAATTAAAAGTGCCTGTAAACAAGTTAAAGAGAGTACGTTTGGTACCATTTGGCGCCTTTAAATATATATTTATTTAAGCTTCCAAATTCGTTTTTCCCTTGTAGTGAGGAGCGTCCTAGATTCCATCCTACATTACAACACAATCTGTCCTAGGTTGCCTGGGAAAGATTACTTTTAGCGATAAAGTAGCTTTTTGTTCTCTTTTTGTATAATATATTTCTTGTAATTCTTGTTTCTATTAACTTATCATTTGACGATAAAATGTCTATCTATCTATCTATGTCTTTATTGTACAACAAAGATATATAAATAATGTATTTTTGTTTGGATTATTTAAAACAGGACTATGTCATACAAAGAATATCGACTTCAATTGTGGAAAAATAGGTTATTTTGATTTATAAAGTAAATTACTGAAACGTTTTTGGTAAAATTTCTATAAAGACCAATCTGTAAGTATATTTTTATTTATTTAAACTTTAATGCACGGTAAAATTCTATGTACTGGTACATTTGGAGGACTTAACACCGGACGGTGTTCTCTACCAGTCAACCATTGGGCAAGCAGAGAAATA